TTTTTTGTGTAAATTCGGGAATGCATGTAAATCACTGGAGAGCTGGTACCTACACTCTTGAGTGGATCTGGCTCAAACTGCAGTTTGAGTTCTTAGAAACAGTAATATCTTTTCAATGAATTTGATTTTAGGAATTACAGAGGACAGCAGTCTAAAGGACAGATGACTAAAACTGCTGCTGTTCCCAAATACTTTTATTACGTCCATGTTGCATTTTCTGTCATTCTTCTGTATAATTCTTTAACATGATAAATCTATTTCAGTCTGAGACTGTGTTTTTACTGGCAATGGAAATATTTTTTACAAGACTTGCAATGCCACACAGGGTTCAGAATGGCTGTTTTTACCTTTCCTCAGATAAAAGATAGAAGTTTGAATGTTTATTTGTTCACAAAGTTCAGATATCCAATGAAATGCAAATTAAGCCATTCCTTGCAATCTAAATCAGGAAGAAACTAGAAAGGGCATTCTTTTCATGATCTTGAAAAATCAACAATAAACATTTTCTTCTTAAGTTGTTTGAAACTGCAGAGAAGCAGAGAATTTTGCTTTTCCTTTTTGTATTAGAGGAAACCAAGCAGAGCTTTCAAATATATAATGTACATAAGAAAACAGAAGAAACTGCTTGATGCCTACAAGCAGATTTTTAAAGTTTAGTGAGATGATCTGTTACCGTGGTTTATTTTAATACATATTTTGTTATTCTTATTTTGGTTTTATTTAGTTGTTTTTTTGGTTTTGTTTTTGTTTGTTTTTTAATGTTCAGGAGGGAGAGCTGATTTCTACCTCATGCAGCAAAGCTTCTTCCCAAACTAGTAGTAGTACTAGTGACCTGCCTGCATAGAATTTGAAATGCTGTTCTTTTAAGTTGTTCCAATACTAGGAAATATTTGTTGATCATTCTAGACATAACAGAGCAAGTGGTATATTTGCATGACAAATGATCCCCATTCTAGGAATTTGTGTATACTCTTTCACATTGTAGCTGAGAAAGCTGTGTGGGACTCAGGTTCATAGGGAACGCCATGCTATCTTCTCTTTAGCTATTTTTGTTGTAGCTCTTGTTAGTTTGTTTTTAAGCATCTTTAATTCTAGTACTGTGGCACACTTCTCTCTGCAGACTGAGCTTTCTGCAGGCTGCTCATGAAAGAATCAATTTTTCTGAGAATAAAAATTCAACGAAGGAAAAGAAAGCAATACATGGAGGTGTGAAAATCTGTTCTAGTTAAATGACGACTCTGCCAAGCATTCCCTACTAACAGTGAGTTTTAAGCATATTTTTACCTATATGCACCACCCACAAAGATCTTGATTAATTTCACAACATGACTTCATGAAATAGCTTACAAGTTAATGACTGTGACTTTGAGAAAGTTTCACCAAATTACATAAGCTCAGTATCATAACACTTCATGGAGCAACACAAAAGCAGTGGACTGCTGTAAGTTTAGCACTTATGAAGTTTTTGCACTCTAAACTAACAGAGGTAGTAAGCTCACAACAGTTCAACACATACCTTACTGCACAGGTCATCTTATCATAGCACTGAGCTGATATATAACCAACAGATTTGCTCTGAAGGAAGATCTGCTAAAAAGAGGTTGTTTGAAGTGCTTTTAAATTCATACATTTTAAACAAATCCTTCATTTTGAGCTTGTACATAATAATATAGAATTGCAGACTAAACATTCAGAGTTGATGAGTTAATTAAGAGTCAGTGGAAATACATTGTTCTGCTAAAGGAATGCAGAGTAAAATACTTTCTAAGATGAAAAAGAAAACCCAAAACTCATTTAATTTATGTATAACTGGGGAAAAATTACCTTGGTTCAAAATATCTCAATGTGAGAAAAAAAAAGTTAGTTCAACCTGCATTTTCCAGAAGTTTATTTATCCTGAGATAACATTTGCAAAGCACCCTAGAAACAGGAAGATATGTTTCTGTTTCTAATCTCAATGGTAATCCGATATGTGGCTGTAAAGTAGTAAGCACCATTCAAAACAGAACAGTTTTTTTTTCCTCACTGATCTCATATATTCTGTTAAGTTGCAAAGATTTGATTCCAAGATTAAAAAAAAAAAAAAAAGTATCAATGATATCGTCAGTCACATAAAACATATGCACAAATAACTAACAGCTATTTCCCTATGAAAAAGTTTAAAGGTTTGTGTTTGTTTTTTTTTTCTGTCAGCAATCACTAGGGGCAATCTTGTATTTATTGCAAAGCAGAGGTAATTTTAAATTGCTTTTGTATGTATAAGCTTGCTAGTTTTATAGTTAGATTGTTAAGTAAAAAGAATAAATCAAGGAAAAGCTCTGACTGACAGTACTGTCCATGCTTCTAGAATCTGGCATTTGAATGGTGTGATTTGTTCATACTTTTCTTAATCCCTAGAATTAAATCACTGAAACAGATTCACTGTGTTCTTGGGGGGGGGGGGGGGGGAGATTCTGTGCGAGTTACTGTTACAACTCAGCAGAGGTAAGACAGTTGCTGTCAGATTTGAATACAGAGAGAAAGAAGAAGACGAACATACTTCAAAAAGATGATTTGAGGTGTCTGTGTGCCATTGCCAGCATAGTGTGGTGTCATGAAGGATTTTGGCACCTTGATGAGGGGATCCTCCAGCCTTCCTGGGGCTACTGTCTGGCCAGGCCCAAAAGGGCCGATGGTGCAGTGCTGCAAATTCAACACCAGGAAGGACTCAACGAGAGGAAACTGCCATATCTCCATTGATTTCAGCAAATTCAGGCTGATTGACCTCAATGAGAAAGGACTGAAGAATACACATCCTCTGCCTCATTTTCTGCATTTTTTTCTTTTAGTGAGATGGTTTGGATCATTGTTCCATTTTACAAATCAACACGTTCTGCACTGGATGCACTTGTGATCCTCCGCATGTCCCTCAGAGAGCCAGCAGGCTCAGACCCCTCCAATATTGAGCGTGGCTTCGCAGATCTAGAGAGGCCAACCGAATGTATCTTTTCATCTTGCTCTGTTCTGAGTTTAGAAATAGTATTTAATCTAATTTAATTTAATTTCACGAACGCCAGCACGCAATATATTCTATAAAGTAAAAACTATTTTGCAAAGAGGTAGCTTCATGATGAACAAAATAAAAAATCTTCTGTACAGTACAGGTGGATACAATATTATCCTCTCTGAAAAACAAGTGCAGTATGATACTATTGTTTTATCCTTTTAATTCTCATTCCTGCAGAGACAGACTTCCCTGCACTGGTTTTGCTGTGACAGCACTGAGCATGTTGTGGGATGCCACCGCCCACTAGCTCTAACCTATGACCAGGCCCTTTGTTACAACTAACAAACACCAGTAGGGGCCCTGTTTTACAGTGAGCTTTCCCCAAAGTCAAGCACTGAAAACTTCCCCCTTTATTTTAACTATTGAAAAGATAAATGTAAACATAAAATGAGTTGGAGAAATTTGTTGCAGCATCGAATGCTGACTTCAGCCCCCCTTCTGATCCTGTTTGGAGGCTTGTTTGAAAAGTTCCTCTTCCTTCTGTTAAAGGTAAAGTCTAATATACCAAAGTCATTCTCAATTGGCTCTTCACAGTCTCTTTGAAACCAGCATACACACAGGCCCTGTCTCTTCTCCTTACTCCTGCCAGTTGTCCTATAATGCCATGGTACAACTGTATCCGCTTTGAACAAAGATTTTCTCAGTGGTTTTTTTTTTGATCTTGTCTATGCTTCTCATTTGTTTTAAACAAGGACATACAGAAGTGGTATCTGCACATCTCAAGGATGCATTTTGGAGAATGTGCGGCCTTAGTTCTGTTGGCTAATTTCCATGTAAATCAGTATCTATGTTGTTATTTTCATGGGAAATAAAGCTTCACTTGCAGTGTGTTTTTAAGTTGACCCAATTATCAGGCAAACACAAATCTGCAGACAATGAAACTTTTCACAAAGTCTCTCTGATTTTGCTCAGAATCAGTTGTCCCTGTTGCCAAAAAAGGACCATTCTGCAGTAACTTGTTTCCCATGAGATCCAGCAACGGATCAGTGGCACTGCTGGGAGATAGCTGGAAACACTGCTGGGAGATAGCTGGAAACATTCATGCAACACAGCTTTCAGGCTGTTGCTGGAGAGAGAAGAGTGCAAATGGGAGATGCTTTTGGCTTCTGTGGAGTCAAAACTTTTGTTTTTTATTTTATTTTATTTTATTTTATTTTATTTTATTTTATTTTATTTTATTTTATTTTATTTTATTTCAGGTCTAACGTGATTTTTGTTTTCCTTCTCATTTCAAGCATCTAATGTTTAGAAGGAATTCTTGCAGCAGGACACCCTGACCAGCACAGTGCTGTTCTCCCACTGCACAACACTCCGCTTTCCCATACGGGATATCAGTCCTCTGATATTGCTGATATTATGTAAAGAGGCAGAAGCTGCGTTAAGAAATCAGACTCATAGGGAAGCCTTTATGTATCGCTCTGCAACTTACACTGATGCTAGATGTGTATTTAAGGATTTTGCTCACCTCCCCATCTAATCCTTGTTCTGCTGACAACGGTTGCAGTGGCAAGCGTTGGGTTTCCCTGAAGAGTGGGGTCACAAGGAGCTGAGTACCCGATTACGGCAATAAACCGCGCACAAAGGGCCCACCACGCTGCACTCCGAACCAAGTACCAGGTCGGGCGCGCCGGGAGCCGGCAGCGGCTTCCCTCCGCGAGACACAGGGCCGGGGCGAGCTGCGCTCCGTGGGCTGGGGAAGGGCCCGTGCTCTCGGGGCCCAGCGAGGCTCGGCTGCACCCGGGGCAGCCCGGCCGGCGTCGCGGCGCCGCGGCGCGGGAGTAGTGCCGGGTGCCCGCCCGGGCGGGGCGGGGCGGGGCCGGGCCAGAGCCGACCGGGCCGGGCCGGGGCCCGGCGCGTCCCGCCCCGTGGGGGTGAGCGGCGGGCGGGGGCAGCGCGGTCGCCGCCGCCGGGGCGCAGCTGCCCGCCCGCCGCCGGGCGCTGTGTGCGCACACGGTCTGCGCTGCCTGCAGCCCTCCTGCCGCCGGCGCAGGGCGCACGGACACGCAGGCACACGCGGGGACGCGGCCCGCGCTGCCGAGCTGCCCGCCTCGCCAGGGGTGGCTGTGCTCCACGGGGTTCCACGCTCTGCCCTGCGCTGCCCGCGGATCCCCCGCAGGGCCGATGGGGAGTAGTGGGAGGATGCGCCTGAGCCGCGTGTGCTGCGTCTTCTACCAGCTGTGCGTTCTGTCCAGCGGACTGGCCGCAGGTTAGTGCCATCCCCGGTAGCCACTGCCCGCTGCGTGCGGGAGACGGCGGTGCTCAGGAGCAGTGCTTCCAACTCGGTGCTGTTTTCCGAGTGTGTGTGGGATGGGTGCGCGCATACAGCCACCCCGTGTATCTGGTTGTGGAGGCTGTGTGTATGCGCGTGTATATAAGCACACAGTGGCGTTGCTCTGTGAATCTTACGTGAATTACATTGTGATCTGGTGTGCGTGCAGTGCGTTGGAGTCGCCAGTGATGATAACGTGGTAGTGATGGGGATGCAGTGTGAGCGGCTGCCAGCGGTGCGTGCGCTCAGCAGAGTGCCGCCGGGAGGGCGCGTGCATTTGGCTGCACTTTTGGAGTCGCTGGGTATTGCGAAATGTGCTAAGGACAAGGCTGAAATTTTCAAAGTTGGTGTTTTTGTTTGTTTGTTTCGTTTCGTTTTTTGTTTTGTTTTGTTTTCAGATACTCAGGGTTTTTCTGTTAAAATGCACGTATGCTTAAGCGGCACGAAAAAGTTGCCAGTTTTTCGTCTAAATGAAAGTTTTGTACAACTCCCTACATGGAGGCGACGGTCGGAAAGAGGAACGCCCCCGGCGCTGCGGGCAGACCGGGAGCGCAGTCCACCCAGAGCCGAGCGGCACGGAGACCTCTGGCGGTGCCAGCTCGCCCCACCTGCGGACGGACGGAGAAGCCGAGTGGCGCCCGCCGTGTCCCGGGGCTGGGGGACCTAGGGAGCGCGCCGAGGGCTTCTGTCCTGCACCGCGGGGTGCTCGCTCACGCACAGCCTCTGCTTCCTTCCCGCAGGTCTCCATGCTTCAGTGGACTCTGAGGAGTGGGAGATCGTCTTCCCCGCGCTCTGGAGCCGGGGCCAGCAGGAGCCGGCGGGCGGCAGCGGCGGCGGGGGCGGTGGCAGCGCCGAGCCCGGCTGCGGTAACCGGAGCAGCGCGCCCAGCGCGCCCGCGGCACCCGGCCCGGCGACGGGCAGCTCTCGGGAAGTGCGCTCCGTCTCCTCCTCGGTGGAGGGTCCGGCGCAGGCCGCAGGGGAGGCGGCCGAGGAGGAGGACGCCGAAGATGAGTACGAGTCTCAGGAGTTTTACCACTGGCCCCCCCTGCCTCAGGGCTCTGGTGCCACCCCGCAGCTGCCAGCAACACTGTCCCCCCCGCCACCGCCTTTGGCCGAGGATGGAGACGAAGTGTTGCTGAGGATCCCGGCCTTTGCCCGGGAGCTGTATCTGCTGCTCAAGAGGGACAGCCGCTTCCTGGCTCCTGGCTTTGCTGTGGAGGAACGACACGGGGGCGACAGCAAAAGCCCGCAGGGTACTGCTCAAGGGCAGCCTGAGAGAGCTTGTTACTACAGTGGTGCTGTGCTTCGCTACCCAGGCTCCTTCGCTTCCTTCAGCACCTGTGGTGGATTGGTAAGATGACCTTGCATGTAGGGGCAGCACCAAGGTCTCCATCCCAGGACCACCTTCATCTGCCACTTTTCACTTCATTCTTTACCTGAGGTCCTCCTGGGTCCTGCTTATTATCCCAGTTTTTAACCACTTTGCTATTCATCACCAATTTTTAGACCCAGTCATTATTTTTATCAAATCTTACCTCCAGATTCACTTATTCTCTCAGTTTCTTACTTTTCTTTTTTTCTCTTGAATCTTTTCATACATTCCTGTGCCATTCTTTCTTCATCTCTTCTCATTTGTCATTAATCGTATGTTGTTCCTTTGTGTGTTCTTGTAGTTTCCTGCCATGCTCAGTCACATTCCTTTTTCTCAATATTCCCATCTCATCTCCAAACCATGTATAAACCTTTTGTTCGTCATTTTCATATTCACGTTATTCTAATTTTTGGTCTACTACTTCTCTTTTGCATCTCAGATTTCAGGCTTTTCTGTCTTTTCTACATCTACCAGTATCTTATCTCTCCCTTCTTACCTTCATTCTTCCTTTTTTTCTTTTATTCTTCTCATTCCTTAATCTTTTTGCTCTAACCCACAGTTTTCCCTAAGCATGATACCTGTAGTAACTTGGATTTGTTACTCTGTATCTTTCTTTACTTTCATTTCCTTCATAGAAATAAGCCATGGGTAAGTTCTCAACAGAAAAATTAAGAGTCAGATCTTTTCTTGAATAGTTTTTTCTTCAGGACCATTTGACTTTATGTCACCTATTTCATAAAAAAATTTCACCTGCTATACTTTCTGTTAGATCACTCCTGATTTTTACCATGTAAAGGCCAGAACTGGGCACATTGACAACAGCAGTGGTGATCCAGGTAGCTTCAATCCCAAGATACTTTGAGGTAGATGAAAAGATTAGGAAGCAGATGGGATGATGTAAAATGATGGCAAGATTTTGAACAAAACTAATTATTTTTCTCATTGTGGGATGTTATATAGCATCATGAATACGTATGCCTGAAGCACTTCACAGAATGTAGAATATAAACAGTAATAGTACTAGGGAGTTCACATCATGGTGACCCTGGTTTGTTTGTTTTTATGGTGGCTGAATGTAAATCTTTACAGTCACGTGGTAGATGCTTTCTGGTATTCTTTCTGAACTTGAACATCTAACTTACTCCATTGTCAATTCATGAAGATATGCCTGTCTGTGTTTTATTTGCTTGGTCGTGGAATGAGACTGAGTGAAATGTGGAAACTGTTACTGCCTGTTCATTTGCCTGCTTGGCTTTATTCGAAACTCAAACCCCAAACTGAACGTGGTGGAGAGGGAACATATGTAGATTGACACCAAATAAAATATTGCCTGCACTTCTGCAAGGTGAAAGTGCTAAGTTTCACATAGCTCTTAAGTGGTTGGCATCTAATTGTTGACATTTTGTCAGATTTTCCAAAGCAGGGTAGCAAAATTATTTGTGGAGATAAATATTGAAAGTCAGTTGTTTGAAAACAGTCACAGAAAGGTTGTTTTTTTTTTTTTTAATGTTCTGCAAAAGCACTTTACTTCTATGCTCCTTGTTCTTGATATAATTTTTTTTTTTCTACATTGCATGTGGGTAGGACTACGTTGGAGAAAATGTTTGCAAAGAAATTGGTAATAAGAGATAATTATCGCAAGTATCTGCTCAGAAGTGATTTATGTCGTTGTGTATCTGTAAATCTTTCTAGTTTAAAAACTGACATTTATTGTCTGAATAGGCTCCAGTGCCTTAGGAGAGCTCTTAGTAATTATTGAAGCAGACTTTTCCTGGGAGTACAGTTTTGCTTTCAGCTTATTGGCAGTCTCAGCATGCATGTGCTGAGATCACGTTTCCCTTTCAGAAGGCTGGAGTTGGAATACCGATAAGGTTCTGTGCATCTCAACAAGATTAGAAGGTGTTGTTGATATTGATGGTCTTGTCATCATCCTCAGCCATGCAGTCTTGTTTGCAGTGAAATGAGTGAGCAGCTGTTGTTCTGGAGAGTGTTACTGCGTCAGGTACAGAGCTGAAAAATTGCACAGTGATGCTACGTTAAAGTTGTCATAACAAATCTTCAGTTATTTGTCATTCTTTATTCAGCCATTGCTTGGACTCTATAAATTGCTCTGTTTCCAAAAGTCTTAAAAAAACATCATATGTATGTTGTACATCCTGCTTCCTTTAGGCCTTTTCCTGCAAGAAGAGCCAGGCAGTATTTCAGATTATGTTTTCTGTTTTCAAGATGTAAAGATTCATTGAAACTTAACCCTACAAATATTTTATTGTGCTTACTTCCATTACAGTTTAACTTCCATTTTATATATAATGAAGTTTCAGAGAAAACATAGCACGAATGTCCTAGATACACTCTTATTTCAAAGCCTTGTGAATTTCAAGTTAGGTTTGCCAGATGGCATGCGCCTTGCAAAATTAAAACAGTGAGCCACTTAGTATATCTCTTAGCTTCCACTCTTCAGTTTTTTCTTTTCAGTGTAAAATACAGTGTCTCTGTAGACAAACAAAACTTCAACCTTACTTCTTGTGCTTTTTAGGTAGCATTTTAGTTAATGTATTTATTCGGCTGATAGACAGCAGTGATTGTGTCACACAGGAGGATGGCTGAAGAACAGTAGAAGCCAGTAGGAGGTTTGGCACAGTGGGACTATATGTCACATCCCTGGAAGCATTCAAGGCCAGCCTGGATGGGGCTTTGAGCAACCTGGTCTAGAGGGAGGTGTCCCTGCCTGTAGCAGGGGACTGGAACTAGATGATCTTGAAGGTCCTTTCCAACTCAAACTACTCTGTGATTCTATATGGACCCGTCACTGGGAAATTTGCCTGTAGGTCTGCTTTTGAAATAGTGTGCAGGATCTTCACTAAAATTAATATAAGTCCTTACGTAAGATTTCACACCATCCAAATCAGGATGCGGATGAGGGTCCCAACTTCACAGATTGGAGAGACTTCACATGGGGAGACATGGCAGAGACATGCAGGAAATTGAAAAAAAAAAGTCTGTGTAGACATCAAACTGGCAGAAAGATAGAGGAATGTTCTTATGGATATTTTAGGCATCTTTTCCCTTGAAATTGAATGTGGATGCATTCTGAATAGTTCAATGCAGTTGGATGAAGGTCTGCACAGCGCTGAAGCTCCTCTTATTTCCTGCTTCACTGTTCTTGGGAGCTTCAGTGGCATTCTTTTTTCTTGAACTGTTTGTCAGGAGCCAGTGATAATAATAGGGATGATAACATATAATAATGTGAGTATACAAGAGAAAAATGAGAGGTATTTTTCAGGTAATTGCTAAACAGATTCTCACTGTCAGCAGTGGCTTCATTTGGCAACCTGTCTTGAGAAATGAAGGAAACATAACTGATATTTTCTGATCAAACTAAAGACTGGAGATATACATGGACTGTATATAAACTCTGTCCCTGTGACTTCACTGTACTCTCAGAGATCACATGATCCATGGTGCAGCCTTTTACACATCCTTGGTAAAACACTCAGAGCTTCTTGCATCCCTTTGTAGCTGAATGAGATTTGTTGAGTTCATTTGGGGATGCTGGTGCTGTGGGAAGATTAATATAGAGAGGTTTCCAAAAATTCTCCATCTGTATGCTGACTGCCTGGTTGTTGTTCATCATCAGCCAAATACCAGGATGCAAGCAGTTCTGCTGTTGCCAGTAAGACTGCTGTTTTGGAAGTGACGAACTGCAGAGCCAGACCATTAATTATTTAAAGAGTTGTTTCTATTGCATGTTTGTGTTTTGCTTTAATATCTGAAATAAGAAAAAAGTGCTTCTGAGCAGTTGTAACTAGTAATACAAATTGAACTGAAACTGGTGATTCTGTCAGAGCATACTGTAGCAGAAACTTACTGTAAACTTGGAATTAAGAAATTTGGCTACTGGTTCTGCTCTGCTGCTAGCATGGAAGTTGAAGTAGTCTCACTACATTTCCCAGAAGAAAGCAGTTAACACTGCAGATGAGTTCTTTATCCCCTACTTCATTTCAGAGAGATATTCAATGTCAGTTTTTCTCTTTTCCTAGCAATGAAGTGCTTACATCAGTACGCAGGGCTAGGAGTTGATGAGTAGGGATTTCCCCACGATATCATTTTTCCCTTACCCCTTATTTTCCTTTCAATTCTTCTCCCTTTTTCCTGTTTCTTGAACTGAAGCAGTCTCTAATAAATAGATAACAGCTAAGAACAAGGATTTAAATGTGTTTTTTTCATTCTGGAATATATGGGACTGTTAGGAAATGCAAACAGCAAAAAACATTATGCAGAGGACAGACAAGAAAATGCAGCTCTTTTCAAATATGCTGTTCACTGCTATGCTTTGCTGGTTATAAAACTTGTGTGGAGATCTGTCTAAACAGACAGCATTGCTGACAGGGTTAATTTGCAGGGCAGAAGCTTTGAAATTAGTCTGTGTGTTTCAATAATTTCACTAGATGATAAGAATGCAAAGTGGATCATGGTAGATCTACTGGTTCTGTAAATGTGTTTTGAAGAATTAGCATCAGATGCTACTTACAGTGGAATTCAACGTGTGTTTTCCCAGAGACTTGAGTGGGATTAAGTCATAGTGCATCTCCAATCCAGTTCAATGAAGGGCCTTGTCTAGGAAAGTATATGATGCTTTTCAAGTTTTTTAGTCTTCATTGCCTTTCAGAAGCAGGTATTTCAAAGTCTGGTCAGTAGTTTATAGATGAATAATTTCTGGTTTACTATATATATACTGTCAGTATCAATTCTGCCAGTATCTGAAAAGAATGGATACCTGTAGTTATTTATCATGATGGGATGTGCCAAGTATCATTGGATAATCACATTTTAACAAGTAGTTTGATCAGTAATGCCTTACTTAACAATAAAATTGAAATTAGGATGTGCAAAAACAGACCTATGTTCCTTCTTTTACTTATGAAATACTTATGTACTACTTCACTAAGGTTCAGAAAAAATCCTTAAGCACCATTACA